CTCTGCTGTTAAGGCAGCTGGACTCCAGGTTTCTGGTTCTTTGTTGCTAAAGCATCCTGTGGAATCATAGGCTAATAATAAAACATTACTATTAATAGTTAACAGTGAAACAAGGCTGACATTTTACAATTTATTTTCACATTCATTATTGTATTTGATTTTCAAACCAGCACCGTCAGAAAGATCTTTTCATCCTCATTTTATAGGTGGTGAAACAAAGGCTCAGGGACTTCTGGTGACTTGCCAGTGCTGTTCAGCTGGAACTTGAGGAGCTGGCCTGTCTATTTGAACGTGGGTCGGCCAATTCCACTTACTGTTTCCTGGCTCCTGTTCCCTCAAGGCTGCCATTGCATTGGGCTTTTTGGAATATCTCTTGTGGAATGGGCTATTGTTCATTTTAATAAATCACCCACAGCCCCAGGAAGGTGTTGTCCCCACCAAATGTCTCCAGAGGAATCCAGGCGTGTTGGCCTGAGCCACAGGATTTTCCTTGCATAGGCTCCAAGAGATCTCATCAGAAATGGGAGACTTGGGAAGTATCAAGAAGGACAGGACTGAACCTTAACCTCTTGGACAGGACCTCCATGGACTTGGGGATTCTTCCAGTCCCCAAGCACTGGTAGATCCCTGAGAACGAGGGAGCACCGGTGGTGGCCTTTAGCCCTGTTATTTGTATTCTGTCCCAACACAGTTCCAGAGGGAGCGCTGGAAAGGAGACACATAAAATGAGACAGAAGGAGCCACTTGGAAGACCTCTGACAAGCTCCTGCTCCGAGGGACGCTGAGGACCGAGGGGCCAGGCCAGAGGTGAGTCCTGGGCGATAGGTCAGGACTGGATGAGGAGGGACCAGGGCAGAGGCCCACACACGTTTGTAGTGAGGGAGGGGTACACCCAAAGAGCAAAGACCCAGGGTGAGCTCCAGAACAGGCCAGACCTAAGACGGGGCTGCTGCCAGGGAATCCTCAGAGAGCAAGCAGCACATTCCCAGGTAGAATGGACCCAGACGAGATGCTGTGGAGAAAGATGCTGCAGCTTGCATCCCATTGCTCCATTCCTCCTCTTGTTCTTTAAAGGAGTTGTGCACGGATTCTGAAAGCTTCGGCCTTGAATGTATTCCTGGAATGGGATAGAGGCAGCCAAGAGAGGGACAGCACTCCATAGTTGGAATCCAGGACTGTCTGTGATCCGAAGGGGAAGCAGAACTGGCATTCTTGACTGATAGGCCCCAGCTCCCCAACGTAAGGTGGAGTAGGTTCACCTGACTAAGAGCCCTGTGGATAACACCTGCAGATATCGAGAGGCTGAGGAGCTGGGAGATGGGTGCTATCGCTTTTAAAGAAGACATCCATGGTCCCAGATGAACATGGCTCAGTAACAGTAGGCAACAGAGGGGAGGGGGGCAGTGGAGGAAAGGTCACCTTGTTTTAAGGACCTCTGTGCCCTTCCCCTTGGTGCTTCACTTCACTGGGAAGTGAAGGCTACAAATATGCCTGTCATGGAGTCTAATCTCCAGTCTTGAATCAAGAATTTGCAAAGAGTCTGAAGTTTTAGAGACAATTACAGTGAGTAAAATAAATGACCAAGGTGAGAAATTTCCCATTTTAGTCCCTATGGTCACTTTTCTTCATTTTTTTTTTAATGATGCCATTTTCTAAAAAAAATTTGGGGGGGAGGTACCAGGGATTGAAATCAGGGGCACTCAACCACTGAGCCACATCCCCAGCCCTATTTTGTATTTTATTCAGAGACAGGATCTCCCTGAGTTGCTTAGAGCCTCACTTTTGCTGGGTCTGGTTTTGAACTCAAGATCCTCCTGCCTCAGCCTCCAGAGCCACTGGGATTACAGGTGTGTGCCACCCTGCCCAGCTCTAAAAATATTCTTAAATAAATAAATGAAAACCTGTGAGATCTGCAAAGAGTATGTGATAGTCAATTGTTCAAGATCACACAACAGGGCTGCTCCTTACTAGACCCTCAGCAAAGCTTTATAGAACTTAAGAGATGGTATGGTGGAGTGGTGAGCACAGGCTTAAAAGGCCAATGAGTTCTTTCACTTTCTGTATCTTTAAAAGTAAAATGAAGATATAAATAAATTACCATCTCACAGCATGGTGCTAAGGGTGCAATAAGATGAGGAATCCAAAGAATTTTGCTCCAAAATAGACCACATCGATGACCCAGAAGAAGGAGTTCTGTCAATAATAATATACATAATGTATTTATTAAGAGGGTAGATCCCTTGTGAAATGTTCTTACCACAATAAAATGTTTTATAAATTCAAAAGATGAGGGGGCGAAAAAATTAGAAAGAAACATTGTTCTCCCTCTTCCTCTTTTCTCAAGCAAGGGGTCACATTTTAATCTTTTTTGTGTAGCACAAACTCTCTCAAATGCTTCAGAATTTCTACACTGCAAGCCTGGTTGAGTATTTGACCTTCCGGGATAAATTCTGTGTGAATAACATTATTGATGTCAATGGAATAAGTCAACACTGTCTTTACTTCTGGCCTTGACTCCTGCTTTCTGTGGGCTGGGAGATATTGAAATTCTCCATGGCGCGCTTGGGCTCTTAGCTTCTGGCTCACAGCAGAAATGGCAACAACGGCAAGTATTAAATAGGCCGATTACATGACAGGTCCTAGACCATCCTTGTGCTGAATCTTATGCAATGCTCACAGCAGGCCCATTCAGCAGGAATCATAATCCCCACTTGGTCAAGGAGGAAACCAAGGCTGGAGATGTTAACTTATCCAAGGTTACCTGGCTAGTCGTGGAAGACCCCAGCATGAATCCTGGCTCCCTCCAGTGCTAATGCCTACGTGCTTCCTCAGGACCACAAGCCACCCCAAGTTATCATTTTTCTTCAAAATATACTTCCATCTCTCTTCCTTAAAAAAAAAAAAAAAAGTCAGAATAAATGCCAAGATACCATTGTTTCTCTTCATCTCTCAAAGGGTACGGTATAAGTTTAATAAAAACTCCCTTCCTGCCCAAATTCCATTCCAGAGTGAATCTGTTCCTTTATCTAATTTTAACTCTTCAGCCTTCCTTCTATCTGAATGTGTGAAATCTCTGATCTTTTCAATATTTCTATTGGGCCAATGGACAGCTGCTGCGTGTGTCACTGTGGACAGCTTGACTTTGGTCTCTAACAGGTGGGTGCCTTCACACAGCCCCGCTGCTGGCATTCCTCCATCCACATTAGGCACTTTTAAGTTGCCAGGGCTCTCACCTACAGATTTATGCAACACCATCCAAAAATCTGACTTTAAATTCTTGCTCTAAGCATTAGCCACCCACTTTCATGTCAATAGGATAATACAGAATTCTGGTCATCAGAGTCTCTGTTTCAGGACAGAATGACCTACCCAATACTGCATTTCAGTGACAACCCAGGATCCTCAACTTCCATAAGTCAACCCAAAAATTTGTCACAGCATTCCAGACTCACACCACATAGCGATACACAAATCTATCCACATAATAGTAAGACTTACTCTCTCTCAAAACACAATCCATCAGTTACCCTTTGGCCTGCTAATACTACTTCTAATGATCTACCCTAAGGAAATAATTGAAACTCAGACAAAGATTTATGTTACATCCACTGCATATTATATATAATAACCCAAAATTGGACACCATCTCAATATCAACAATAAGAGGATAGTTAAATAAATTATAGTGCATAACTACAATGGGATATTATGAAGCTTTTAAAGATCATGTTTTCAAAGAATATTTAAAGACACAGAAAAAATGTTCATGATATAGAATTAGGTTTAAAGAAAAAGGAAAAAAATACCATTTTTAAATATATGAAAGGTTGCTAAGTGAAGGGGAAGTTAACTTATTCTGTGTGGGAAGACAGCAGTAGCTCCCGTAAGAGGAAGCTATCCAGAAACTTATAAGGAAGGAATGTGAGAAGAAGAATTTTCTAATGGTGATAGTGGTCCAAAGTCGTAAAAGATTTCCTAAGTGGGTAATGATCTCCCTGCTACAAGAAGAATTCAAACCGATACTGGACAACCACTAGATGGGGACATTATAAAAAAAAGACTCAGTCATGGTATGCGGGATTGACCTACATTCCCTGTAAGAACCCTGCTAACCCTGATTAGAAGGTGGTGCTAATTACTTTTACATACCAGCTATCTACCTGAGTAGGGACACTGTTGGAGAAGAATGAAAGGAGAAGGCTCAGGACAGAAAAAGGCCTGGCCAGATGAGGTAGGAAGCACAATCTGCCACTAAGTCCCCCAAGGGCAAGCAGATGGATTCAGCTGCGGTGCCATATTTCACTAAAGCGGATGCTCCTCACTCAGGCCATGTGGGTGGGTGTCATCTAATTTTCAAAACTTCCAAATAAGGAAGTTGTTTTCTCTTCCTAAGAGCCCGTGTCACTCGGGCTCCTCACCACCAGGCACTGTCCTCTGGACCACTTGGAGACTTTTCAGAAAGTGGAGCTCCCGTCTTCTTTGACCAGACTTGCAATACCCAGTTGGAGGGACAGAACAGGCTAGAGGCACACAGGAGTAGACCTCATTACTTTATCAGCTGCAGGCCAGGGTTATTTTATGTATGTTTAGTTTGAAAGGGGATTTTGGCAAATATTCGTTTGCAAGGCAACTTCAGTTTAATGACAGGCCACTAGGAAAGGATGGAGAGGTCATCTTGGAGATGTGTAGGGAGTGGGGATTTGTAAGACAAAGAGGAACCTGAACAGGTGAACTTTTAGAAGGTGTAAATACCTAGTTAGCCCACCTTGGTTTCTAGCACCATTCTTCAGTGAAATGAACCAGGAATCTTTGAAGGAACATCTGAATCTAGTAGCAGTGCAGAAAATATCCAGGAGGAACCCGGAACATCTTATAGTGCTGGAGTAGGGACCTGCTCAAAAAATTAAAAACAAAAAACAAAAAATAGGATATGTCAAAGGGACACAGAGTCCAACCCAAAAGATTCCCAGTGACCAAAACTGAAACAATTTGAGCCATGGAACAAATAATGTAATATTTTATTGTAACCCAAAATGCAAAATCAATATCCCTGAATTCACAGTGGTATAAATAAATAATTAAATAAGCGAGAAGTAGACAAATCTCCTGGGTCAAAGAATTCCAAATGATTTATGTGGACACTCTGTCCTCAATGAAGCCATGAGCACCACTCCACTGCTTCTGCGTGGGCTGCAAACAGACTTCCAGCCAGCAGCGTGGAAAGGAGAAGAGCAGCAACCTCCTGGTGGAGAAGCCTGACAGATGCTGCCTTATCCGGAGAAGGAGGTTGGCGTCCGCACTGGTGAGCATGTGGGCAGCACGTGTCCTTGTTAAGAATGGCAATAGTGGCACTTTGCCCCCATGGCCTTGCTCCCATACCCATGTGGCTCATCTAATTGTAAGAAAAGCCTTAGACAAATCCTTATCGAGGCACTTCTACAGTATACCTGGCTGATGTGCCTCAAAACTGTCAAAGTCATCAAAAACTAGGGAATATCTCAGAATGTCTGCTATGGCAAAGAGGAGACACAGGAAACCTAATGACTGAATGCCTTGTCATGTCCCTGGTGGAGTGCCACATTGGAAAAGGGACGTGGGTGAAAATCAAGGGGGTTCCAGAGTAAAGGGTCAGCTTCACTTAATAATAACCTATGGATATTGTGAGAACTCTGATAAACATGCCATACTATTATAAAATGCTAACCAGGGGGAAATGGGGTAGGATTGGGGGAACCCTCTGTACTGTCTTCCAATTTTTCTGTAAATCTGAAACTATTTGACCATGAAAAGTTTAGTTTTAAAAATGTCTAAGGAAGCAAACTAGAGAGGATCTGACCTGCGTGAGCACTTTGGAGAAGGTGACAAAGGCCAAATGCTCAGAGAAAGAAACAAATTGGATGGATTTCTAGTGCTGGGGAAGCAGAAAGAACAAAGCATGGACCTGGAGAAGCGGATGCTCTGGGGAGGGCCCATCTCGTCCCCAGCCTGGGTTTGGGCCTGGTTCCTGCCAGCGGTGCAGCTGCCTCCTCAGGCCTCCAGATCTGGACGCAGTGGCCTGCCCGGTGGAGAGGAAAGCAAGCTGGGCAAAGATCAGAAGGCTTTGTGTCAAGCAAGACAAAGCCCACCTCGGCCGCACACCGCCATCTGAAAACCCGTGTTATTTTCTATAGTCCCCAACTCCAGGACCCACTCACCCGGAATAAAGTAGTTCTTTCATTTTTAACAAATAGCTGAGTAAGTCGATGACTCGTACACCTTCCAACAGAGAAAACGGGGGGGGGGGACAGAACAGAGTTGGAAGTGGCGTCGCTGGCCGGCCAGGCATCATCTGGAGTGGGAAATGAGCACGTCTTCATTTCACAGCCTCGAATTTGTGTTTCTTGGAAGCAGAGAACCTGGAAGCCAGAAAGGATGGATTGGTGGTGTTCTGCCAATGGAGGAAAAGGAGGTCCCCAGATGAAGGACAGGCCGAGGAGCCAAACACATCCCTTTCCCAGCAATCAGAGAACAATTCACAAAGCACAGAGCATTGTTTCCTGTGACTTGGAACACTGTGTGCTGGCCCCTGTGTGCCTGTGGTCCCCGGGTCCAGCCCTGCCTTCCTGCTCTGGATCCAACAGGCCTTGGACTAACTGCCACTCCAGAAGCTGCTCCTCCCATCGGCTTTCTGGGGATGGCTGGTTCTCTGAGCCCAGAGGGTGCCCTCCAATGGGGCCTACTTATTCCCCACCCCCTTGCCCACATCCCAAGGAAAAGTAGTGGAGAAGAAGTTTGGGGGGTCTTATGATTAAAAAATTGGCTGGCGATGTTTTATGCATGCATCTGTTATGCTAAAATAACCATCCTTTCTAACCAGCCCACCTGCTGTCTTTTTCAATTTTAAGTATTTCTAAGTAGCAATCAAATCAGTATAATTTGTTCTTTATCTCGGCAAAACCATTGTGAAAGAAAAATGTGACCATTATGTTACATCAGGGAAAAATACAAGCCCTTTATTTGCAGCCTTCTCTATATTCTATCAGATCTCACAGTTGTCATTATGCCAGTTGTATTTAATGTTGTTCAAATGAACAGAGCTTTCTTTAATCACTACAGCCTTCTTTCCCCTAAATGCTTTTTCCAAGGTTATGGTTTTCAGAGATAAATACATAAATACCAATGTTATGAATACGTTAAGGGTATCCAAGAGACAGCTTTCAGGATTTGTAGCAAGAACCTGCTGTCATTGGAGTTACACAATAGCTGGCTGATGTTTTGAGTATGAAGTTACTGGGTATTAGGAGAAGGTCTGATACCCCGCGCGGAGGCGTAAGGCTATTTTGAGCCGATCACAATAGGCCACTCAGCAAATGCTGACTTTATAAATCTGGCATCAGGATCCTCACTGCTAATAACCCAAGCCAGCAAGTTCAGAGCTGTAGGTACCCTCCATTCAGAGGCAGGGCTTGGTGCTCTGTCCTGGGGGCTTCCAGACGGCACCTGCAGGCAGGGTCCTTCATGCCACCTGACACCTGAGGTGGGCAGGCGGCAGGACTGAGGTCAGACTTTCAGATCTCAAAGGAACCATCCACTGCAATGCACTTTCTTTGCAAATTACACTAGAGGTGCAAGGTTAAATGACTTCCCCAAATACGTATGTCCAGACAGTTTTGCTTTGCTACCAACTGGAGTACTCCAGCCCCCTCACAAACATTACACAGGGTAATTCTGAGGTTGTAAGAATCCTACACTTAATCATTCATACATTCAGTTAGGAAATATTTATTCTTTGCTGAGATGCTGAGAATGATAATTACTATTATTAATAGCTAATATTTTTTGAGTGCCTGCCACCATTCTGAGCACTTGATGGAAATTAACTCATTTTTCCCTCACGGTCACCCTTGGGATAGGCACTATTATGATCCCCATTTTACAGATGATGGAGGTGTAAGGACTGCAAGGTTAAGTAATCTGCTCAAGGACACACGTTGAAAGACCTAAGATTGACGCCCTGCAGTCTGAGTCCGGCGTCAGCACTATGAATCCCTACAAAGAAAACATTTTCCCAGATTGTTGCAAGTGCTGAATAAATGTTTGTTGAATAAAGCATTGTATCTTGCCCCTGAGAAGCTTACAATACAGAGAAGAAACATTTATGTCAACAAATAAAGGAAATGCAATATGTGATATAATGTGTCAAAAGAGAAACATAAACGAGTACTAATGGGAATGCGGAGGAGGGAGCACCAACACCAACCAGGAGCCTGGCGGACAGGGGCGCTGTGCAGGGCAAATTGCTGGAGGCTGGGTGGGAGGCCTGGGGCCCCCCCAGACAGCCAGCCCTCGTGGGGTCAGGAGATGTCTCGGCATGTTCTTAGGTCTAGCAGGAGAATGATGGCTGGACTTCTAATTCAAAGAGTTACCTAATAAAGGAGACCACATAGGAAAAAGTGATCCATAAGTTATAAGGCCCACGTCGACGTCTAATTGGTGGACTGTGAGCTCCTTGAGGGCAGAGGGGATGTCTTGTTCCTTAACTAGAGTATCTTTGCTCAGCTTGGTGTCCCACATGCAGTAGGTATTGTTGGATCCTACACAGGGGTGGGAGGAGGAAGGGAAGACAAAAGGGAGGGAGTGGGAACAATTAGTCAGAAAGGGTGCTGTGTTGGTCAGGCTTTCAGAGAAACAAAACAAACATACATAGGAGACTTCTTTTAGGGAATTGGTTTGTGCAGTCATGGGGGCTGAGAAGGCTGGTATTCATAGGGCAGGCCAGCAGCAGATGGGGAACTGAGGCAGGAGTTAATGATGCCATCCTGAGGCAGAATTTCTTCTTTTGGGGGTAACCTCAGTGTTTGCCCTTGGTGCTTTCAACTGATTGCACGAGGCCCACCCACATTATCAAGGGTAATCTCCTTGACTTAAAGTCAACTGAATGCAGAGGACAGCTATACCTACCAGATAACCCCACAGCATCACCTAGGTTGGTGTGGATTAAATAACTGAGTACTATAGTTTAGCCAAGTTGATACAAATAATTAACCATCACTGATGTCATTCCAAGAGAAGAAAACGGTAGAGTGAGGCACAGAGGCCAGCAACAGGTCCCAAAGTTAGGAACTGGCCTCACCTTGAGCTTTCGTAGGGTGTGGATGGCAGGGACCAGGGATACCAGCTAGAAAGCTCTGCAGTCAGCCGAAGACAGCTGAGGAACACTAACAGTGTGGGGTTAGCTGTTCTCCCCTGGAGCAGGGCTAAGGCGCTTATTGAGACTGTAGATTTATGAGCCCCCGCTGGAAACCAACTTATGCAGAATCTCCAAGGGGAATCCGGCATCAGGAATTGGTGATTCTGATGTAACAAATGAACATCCGTATCAGAAATTGCGAGAGGTGCTTTCTGGTAAGGAAATTTCCCTGACTGAGGAAGCTCAAAGACATGAGCTTGAATTCTGTATCTGCCATTCATTAGCTATGTGCCCTTGAGGACTTTACCTTCCCTAAGCCTCAGTTTTCTCATCTAGAAAATGGGTCTCTTTGCAATATACCCAGGATTGCTCTGAACGTGAGATAATATATGTAAGGGCTGAAGGACTTCAGACAGAGCACCGCAGTTCAAAGTCACCCTGTAAATGCTTGTGAGACCGAAAGGAGTCTTCTCAGGACAGTGTGGCCCTGGAGCTGGGATGGAGAGTGTTAGGAGTCCGTCCTGCCATGGTCCAGAACCATGCACCTTCCATTAGTACCAGGCACACTGGAACTTCAAGGGCTGCACACCACCCATAGACCCCTGTGTGGCTGTTGGTACAGTGATGTGATCTGCACCTGTCACCTACCAGCCCTGTCTCAGCTCAGGAGACGCTACAGAGTTCAAACATGGTCTCTGAGTTTCCAGAGGGTCACTACTTCTACATTTAAAGCTTGCTAGTGGTTGTAGTGCTTTAAAAAAAAAAAAATCATAAGGAAAATGTCAATAACTAGCTTCCTCGTCCACACCCTAGAATGTTTGGGTAACATCTGGGAGTTTTTCTGTGGCCTCCTAGGCCTTGGACAACAAAAACAAAACCCGAATCTGACTCCACATATCAATTTGGGATTCTAGCTGTTCCTTTTACATATCCCCCAGGTGACCAAGTTCCTCACAAAAAAAAAAAAAGCAGCTTTGTGGAAAAGATAGATGTGAGGACCAAAGGCTTAGCCTCGCCTCACTGTTTCCCAGCTCTGTGATCCTAAGAAAATTGCTTAATCTCTTTGAGCTTCAGTTTTGCTGTCTGTAAAATGGGCCTAATGTCTGAGTTATCAGGTTACAGGGATCAAATGAGACAATGTGGCACATGGTGGTGCTGGGGTTCCTCCCTTCTGCTCCTCTTTACTCAGGCTGGTCAGAGCCCTTCTCTGGGAGCTTCCCCGGATCCTGTTTACCCCATTTATCTGGTTGATATCATTTAGATAGAACCAAACATAATTGAGTTCATGGCACTTAAAAAAGTTATTATCACCCATCTGTGAGTGATCCAAACATATTTAAGCAGGATACATCGGCAATGTAAAGAGACACAGCCTTGATGAGCAAGTGTTTTGGCATTCACTCACCCAGCTCCTGCTCCATCACCTTAGACAAGTCATTACTTCACTTCTCTGAAATTCACCTTCTTTGCCCATAAAATGGGAGTTCTCCTAGGAGAACAAATGGGATCATAATGCAAGCGAAAGAGCAGCTCAGCTGCAAAGACTGGTTAACCACACCAAGTAACTCTCTGCTTTTTGGAACCTGTGCATTCAAGGAACCTTCTTGCAGCTCATAGTCTTCCTGGTTGTCACCAGAAAAACAGGCTGCAAGATGGCACTACGCTTTGCTTCCCAGAGCTTGGCCTGGTTGTAGGAACCCAGCACCGAGTCAGGAAGAGCTGCCACAGACAGATATTGCAAAACCCCCAAACTCAACAGGATCCTCGAATAACCAGAATCAACCACCGTGAACCGCAATCCTTGGTTGGTTTGAGAATTCAGCTTGCACACCCCCACACACTTCGCACCACACACTCCTGTACCCTTGACCCTTCGTTTTCACAAGGCCGGGGAAACTGGTGAGCTAACACGTGACTGCAGGTTTTATTCTGGAATCCATCTTTCAGGCCATGATAAGTGCTGCTCAGAGGCTTCTGCCCTTTATTCGCAGAAGTGTGCGGCATTTGAAGAGGGACAGTGGGTCACGAGGAGGCAGCCTATGTTGTCTCTTGCAGAGGCAGCAGATCCGATGACACTGCTTCACAGAGATGAGCGACTGCCCAGGTGAAGACAAAGAGAGTTTCCCAGTAACACTCGGTCACTCAGAGAATTCAATCCCCAACCCCAACAGCCGTTGCCACAAACAGTGTGTAATTGAGATATTGGACCTAGTGATTAAACACTGTCTGGGGTGGAAGCCGGGAGAGAAGAGGGATTCATCTAATTAGATGATTCTCAGGGCTGGGTTGGAATAGTGAAGTCTGATAATAATTAAGAACAAGAACCAATCTTCACTGAACGCCCATCATGGGCCTGCTACTTGGCAAAACCCTTTGTGGTTTATCACACCAGCTTCTGGCCATGGGTCAATTTGATTTAAACCCCATTTCAAAGAAGAGGCAATTGAGATTCAAAAAGGTGACGTGATTGGTTAAAGTCACAAAAAAAATGACAGACCTGTCAGACATCAGATTCCCATGTTCTATCCACAGAGATGGCCGTATCAAAGCAAAATAGCCCACAACCCATCTAATATTGAAGAGTGGTGTTTTATAACAATGAGGGTGGGGTTGGGACTCTTGCATGGTTTAACCTCGGATGCCAGTG